TTAAGCTGCTATTTTACGCTGGTATTCTGTGAGAGCGTGGTCCTTCCCCGGTCGAGCCGACCCATTCGTGCTACAACTATACCCGAAATATAGCTGCAGCATAGCTCTACCACGTACAAGGTAAACTTTACGTCTGATTGTCAATTTATCTATGGTTCTAAATAAGTTTCATAGTAATATATTTGATAAGATTAAGTAAAGTAAAATAATAATATTCGTTCGTTACTCTATTTGGAGCTATAACTTAAACGCGTCGGAATAAGTTATCAAAGCCCCTCAATCCTAAGTATAGACATATATTTCTGGAAAATGCTTGTCGTTCCTCAGAATCGGAATCTTGCCGTCTGTCGTCGCGTCTACGAACAGTTCAACGACAGAAATCCTTGGATATACTAAAATAATTTATGTCGTTTTTACAATAATAGGTACTAGAAGAAGCAATGACTAGATAATTATTTATAAAAAAGGTTTTTTTATATAAGTGTTGCATTTAGATTATTATTTACTAGCTTTTCCCCGCGACTTCGCTCGCGTGTTAGGGTTTTTATGTTTTTGTGCGGAACCCTAATTCTTTTTCTAAAATAAAAGTAGCCTAAGTTACTCCTTATGAAATCAGCTATCAGCCAGTGAAAGTCCCGTCAAAATCGGTCCAGCCGTTACGGAGATTGGCCGGAACAAACAGACAGACAGACAGACAAAAATTTTAAAAACTGTATTTTAGTTATAAGTACCGTATTTACTTTCATATGCATTTAGTAAAAAAGTGTAATTTTGACATTACAAACAGACACTTCAATTTTATTTATTTGTATAGATAAATGTAAACCGTAATGTGTTCAAAAATATACAACCAAAGAGTATGTAATCACTACGTTACAACAAGTAAAACTAATCTATATTATTAAAAATATATGTTTGTCTATGGTCATACTAACTGTCAAGTAAAGTAAAGTAAACTAAAGCGACAAGCACGAGGTGATTGAACTGCAGACTAGTCAAAGTTCGCGCAAAAATATTTAGTGCTCCCACAATCAACGACCCGTGACACTACTGTCTGGATCACTTCACACTAATTGTCCGATGAAATTATATTTTGCTGACCTCGTGTCATAACTATAAAGCAATAAGAGTCAGATTTCCATGCTTTGAACGACATGCTACGAATGAACTGGGTACCTTAGGTCATTCGCAGGAGTCTGTTCTTGCTATCAGCGCACTGTTTGTAGTATTGCTTTTATCGCAGTTAACTAATGTAAGCAGAATATGTATTATACAGATGGTCCCATTCAGATCAAGATCACCAGTTTATTATAGACAAGAAAATTGGGTCATTACAATACGTTATATCACACTCTATGAGTAAATAATAAAGCTTGAGTGTGAGATTTTTGCCAAATATTTGAAATAAGTAACATTTTTTGGCATTTCCTGTAGACATCCACGAAACGAAATGGGGTTATAGGAAGCAAGCTTGACAGACCGCTTGCCAAACACATCTTTATTATTATTCATCATCATCATCATTACAGCCCTTCACAAGTCCACTGCTGAACTTAGGTCTCCCCCGAGGAATGCCACAAAGCACGGTGCCGAGCCGCCTGCATCCATTGACTTCCTGCATGTCTTACCATCACTCCATCTGGTGAGGGGACCCCTACACTTCACAGGTACGAGGCTGCCACTTGAGAACGTTTCGTCCCCATCGGTTGTCGGTTCTTCGACATCTTCGAGCTATATGGCTGGCCCATTGCCACTTCAGCACACTAATTCTTTGGGCTATGTTGGTTACTCTGGTAGAACTAGAATCGTGATCGTTTTTAAGTCTATCACGCAGAGAAACTCTGAGTATAGACCTCTCCATAGCTCGCTGAGCGACTTTGAGCTTCCTCATACGGCATGCAGTGAATGACCACGTGACCATGACCACCTGACGGCATGCAGTGAATGGCCAGTGATGACCTATGGATCTGAGATCCATAGGTCATCACTGGCAGCACGAACTGGTTGTACAATTTGGTTTTGAGGTTTTGAGGAATGTCTGATGAGAAGATGTGTCGTAATATAGTCAAACTATATCATTATTATAATTGAGTTCTTATCAGAACAATACTTCTGCCCAACTCCTGTCTCATTCTCCTCCTGTCTATCCTCTCTCGCCTCTACCTCTTACGACAGCCATGGGATGAAATGGGGTAGTGGAATTTCTTATGCCATTACACGAAGGCCAAACTGACTAAGTTAACAACTAATTCGATTTGCAACAGCGGAAGAAAAAGATTCCATGCGAACGAAATTGCTATCACAGTTAGTATATTAATAAAAAGAACTGTTGTCTATGGTTGCTGCCAGTTGATACATGTGAACTTGGCGTGATATCCTCAAAACAATACCTACTGAGGTGATATCAGTAAAGTCCAATTTTGTTATTCTACTCTATGAACCTCTTAGGCTGCGTTTCCACCAGAGATGTGCGACAATGCGTAGCGAGGGATGTGTTTGTTAAAAGCCAATAGAATCACTACATTTGCCTAGCCTCGCTCAGCACAGCTCTAGTGAAAACTGCTCAGCGGAGCGAGGTTTTTGTACATACAAAACAAGGGAAGAATATGTGCGAAGGAAGAATAGAATAGAATAGAATAGAATAGAACAGAATAGAATAGAACAGAACAGAATAGAATAGAATAGACTAGAATAGAATAGACTAGAATAGAATAGAATAGAATCGAATAATTTTTTATTCAATATAGATCACATGTGTAATTCTTATTGAAAGCTATTTTTTAGTTTACCACTGGTTCGAAAAAAAACCTCTGTCCTGGGAAGAACCAGCAAGAAACCCAGCGGGACTTTTTTTTAAAGCAAATTTTACAATAATGGTTGTACAAACTATATAAGTACAAAATTTATTTTAGAAACAGCTTGGAAGCGATCAGCTCATTCCCAGGGGTTATTATCAACCATGTATTCATTTATCCTATAATAACCCTTTTTATACAGTTTCAACTTAACAAAACATTTAAACTTGCTAATAGAGAGAGCCTGTACACTTTGCGGGACCTTGTTGTAATAGCGTATACATTGCCCCAAGAATGAATTACTGACTCTGTGGAGTCGAGAAACTGGTATCACTAGCTTGTGTTTGTTCCTAGTATTTACAGAATGCATATCACTTTTTTTACTAAAACTACCTTGGTTTTTGTGAACATACATTAAATTTTCGTAAATATACTGAGAGGCCAAAGTTAATACATTTATTTCTTTAAATTTATCTCTAAGAGACTCTCTCGGTTAAAGGTTGTAAATAGCTATAATGGCCCTCTTCTGTAAAACAAAAATAGTTTCTGAATCAGCCGCATTTCCCCATAGCAAAATCCCATAAGACATTATGCTATGGAAATAACTGAAATAAACTAATCTAGCTGTCTCGACACTAGTGAGACCTCTAATCTTTTTTACAGCATAGGCTGCAAAACTTAGTCTGCTTGCTAGTTTGGATATATGCGGGCCCCACTGAAGCTTTGCGTCGAGAGTGATGCCAAGAAAAACAGTGGATTCAACAGGGCTCAGTTCTTCCCTATATAAAAACACATTGGTACTCAGATTTTTAACATTCGTTGTTGTAAATTTAATACATTTAGTTTTATTTCCGTTTAAATGTAGATTATTAACGTTAAACCAATGCACTAATTTTGATATAGCATTATTCACATCGTCACATTTAAATGATTGACGTTTAAGTTTAAAAATCAAGCAAGTATCATCAGCAAATAATACTATATCATGATTATCCTCTACAAGAGAAGATAAGTCATTATTATACACTAGAAATAGGAATGGGCCGATAATCGAGCCCTGAGGGACACCCATTAGTACAGGTGAGCTGGAAGAACTTTTACCATTGATAATAACTTTCTGCATTCTATTACTTAAATATGAAATAATAAGTTTAAGCGCTGTGTTCTTTACACCATAGTACTGTAGCTTCCTGATTAATGTCTCATGGTGAACGCAATCGAAGGCCTTGGAAAGGTCACAAAATATACCCAAAGCATCCTCTGAATTCTCCCATGCACAAAAAATATGTTTAATAAGCTCAACTCCAGCGTCAGTTGTCGAGCGACCCCTTGTAAAACCGAATTGATTTCTATGTAGCAATTTATTAATATTAAAGAAACTTAACATCTGATCTAAAATTATTTTTTCAAAAATTTTACTAAATGTTGATAGTACAGAAATTGGTCTAAAATTGGCGGGGTCTAATGTACTACCAGATTTAAATAAAGGTATGACTTTACTATGTTTCATTAAATCAGGAAGCACACCAGATTCGACGCTTGTATTAAATATAGTGGCTAGATAAGGTGCTATTATATCTATTATAGATAAAATAACTTTTACGGAAATCCCCCATTAATATGCCGATTTCTTAACATCAATAGTTTTAAAATATTTAATGATATCTTTTGGCAGTACTCTATGGAATTTAAAAGTATTTGAACAAGCCTTTATATTTTTTTTGAGCAATGATTCGGATGTGTTGCGAGGGATGTGTTAGAGGGTTGTGTGCGAGGTATGCGTTATGTACTACGGCTCGACCGGGCAAGGGCCACGATCTCACAGAATACCAGCGTAAAATAGCAGCTTAACGCTGCTGTGTTTCGTATGGTGAGTATAGAGAACTGGAGACGCTTTTTACTGGAAATGAGGCATTCCATCTTAGTCCTCACGGGTGACAACGCATCTGTATTATGACTTGTAATCGAGGATAGATGTAGATGTCTATGGGCCGCAGCAACCACTTACCATCAGGTGACCTGTGTGCTTGTTTTTCATTCTTATCCTATAAAAAAAACTCCCATACCTATGTAATATAATAAGCTGTTTCTAAAGAAATAAACAATTTTTTATTTCTTTTTCACTCTTACTATGGTCTTTTCAGAATCCTTGGCAATAAAGGAACCCTTCTACAGGGTGAAAAGAAATTATTTTGTTTCACAAACCTGTAATTCTGCACCCGGAATCTTCTTAAAGCGATATCGGCAACGGGTTTGCCGTCCTTGTACCAGGAGATGCGCGGTGGCGGTCGGGCGCTCGCTTGACACTCGAGCTTCACCCGCCCGCCCCGCGGCACCCTCACCGACTGCATCGGATCCACACGCGCTGGACTACCTGGGTACAACGTGCACTTATTAAAATGCTGCTGAAAAGAACATATGAACTTACAAGAGAATCCGAATATTAAGAACTTTCGTGGTAGAGCCATGCTGCAGCTATATTATGCTTGTAGCGCGAATGGGTCGGCACAACCGGAGAAGGACTACGTTCTCACAGGATACCAGGGTAAAATAGCAGCTCAATGCTGCTGTGTTTCGTATGGTAAGTGTAGCGAACTGGTGACCGTTTTTACTGGAAACAAGGCATCCATCTTAGTCCTCAGGGGTGGCATCGCATCTGCATTTTGATTATTAATCGAAGATAAATGTAGATGTGTCATAGCATCGGCTTACCATCAGGTGAACTGTGTGTTAGTTTATCACCTATATATTCAATAAAAATATGATGATCTAAATGATCCTATGTGACTCACTAGACAGTGAAATGGTTAAGTATTTATACCGAATCTGATGGAACACGTAAGTTATGCAAGTAAGTGCATGCGTCGCAGAATACAAAGTATCACAACTCCTGTATATATAAAACAAAGTAACACCTATATACGTCCCACTGCCATTCCCCCAAGAAAGAGTCCGTCAAAGCCCTTATTAATTATTACGCGACAATATTATTAATGACCATATTACCCTCACGTACGCTATATATTTAAAGTATTTTTATTAGTATTTTTACGTGGTAGAGCCATGCTGCAGCAATATCAGTAGTATAGTTGTAGCACGAATGGGTCGGCTCGACCGGAGAAGAACCACGCTCGCACAGGAAACCAGCGTAAAATAGCAGCTAAACGCTGCTGTGTTTCGTATGGTGAGTGTAGAGAACCGGAGACCGTTTTTACTGGCAAAGAGGCTTTCCATCTTAGTCCTCACGGGTGACAACGCATCTGCACGTTGAGTTTTTATTGAGGATAGATGTAGATATCTATGGGTCACAGTAACCACTTACCATCAGGTGGACTGTGTGCTCATTTGTCACCCTATCCTATAAAAAAAAAAGTAAAGGGATATCTTGGTTACCCCATCGATTTATATAGAGTTTGGCGGTACGTGTAAAGGATGGCGAATAAAGAAGTAAAAGGATTTTTTAGAAAAATGTGCGGAAACATTCATATTCTTCTCTTTCATTAAAATAACACCTGGGCAACACTGGATGTTACAGCAAGTATCATTTTAATGAGACATTAATATATTACACATTTAGCTTTTAAAATTGGCAATTCTGATTTCAAACAACCTTTTAAATTGTCGACTGTAAGACACGACATCTGTTTAATCGCAAGCTCGATTCGTTTGCCAAATATTTGAAAAGATAAATTCGTCCGGGATTTATAGGGAGAAGTACATAAACATAGTCGAGAATCCCTTACGATTTCTCACCTTACATTTAAAAGACGCATCCAAAAGTCCCTAACTAAAAATACAACTGCTGTCATTAGGCCAATGGCCTTATTATTTCGACGGACGAATAACATATGTATCAACAGAAATAGACAAGGGGTATTATCTAAAAGGGAGACACTCGTTTGGACACGAAAATTGGCTTGTTCTCAGTCGGAAAATATTGTCAGTTATATGACTTTTTTTTTCTACTTATACAATTACGTGTTGTAGAGAAAGTGACGGACCATTATTTTCACTGCTGGATATGAGATTTTCTTCTTGAAGTGGGGATTTGCATACCAGCAGTTTGTAGTAACCAGTAGTAACAGACATCTCGTCCTTTGACGCTGCTATCCATCGCCGGTTGGGATAATTTATGTCTAACGCCATCTATTGGAAGCCATGAGACTGTATGACATTTCCCTTCCCCTTTCCCCCCTTCTTACGACAACCACAGGTTGAAGTGGGTGTGGGGTGACAGATGCCCTAACGCTACCACCACACGGCTGATCAAAAGGAAACTTTTAAAAATAACCTTATATATAAACACTCACGCCTGTCACCCAGAAGGTAGGCAGATACTACGAACTTCCATTTGGCACAATTCTGACACACCTCTCTTGCCTCCTTCACGTCCTATTAATTTAACTAAATAAAAAACCAATTTTAAATGTAGAGTACGAGAGTTTTTCTTACTATAATTATAAATCTTTGTACTTTTAATGTTTTTGGAACGAAGTTCTTTATCGGACGGTACAGATTTGGCGGATGGGGGCTAGGCGAGAAAAAGTGTAAGATTTTTCAGTCACGGCCCCTTCTGACGTAGTGTAGACGGCCATGGCGGCTATAAAGAAGCGAGATAAAATTATATCCATCTCTCTCGCACTTTTTCTTATCTTGCCTTGAAAAAAATGTTATTTTATTTCAAATGACGTTTAATTTTAATAGACGCTAGTAATTCATTTATTTATATTTGTTAATCAATAATATAATACGTCTATCAATAATAAAATACTACGAAAGGAACTTCGTTCCAACCGAGTGTTCAAAAAGTGTGAGAAAAAAACACGCGTGTCGTGTCGTGTAAACACTCACGCATGTTTTTTTTAATTTTCCTGTTCTGTCAGCAGCTCATTATGAAAAATAAATCTTGTCAATGGAACAAAATAGTTGTTTTACATTTTTCTAGGTTATTGGTGTTTGTTTCAAGATCAGTCTAAAATAAGCAAGAGTTTTTTAATCTCTAGTATACTTTATACCTTCTACAATATACTGTAAGTTCATTCTGCATAGATCGTAGATCAGACCAAAAATTAATATTATTCAAAAACTGAAGACAGCTGGGCTAACATCGGGACGTCAAACACCTCTGTCCTCCTCAGGTATTACAATCGGGAATTAAATAAATATAAAATTTATATTACATTGAATTTATATATAGAGAACCGGAAACCCTTATATTAATGATAGGTCATCGCGCACTCTGATTGGATACCGCGCTACCTGAAAGAAACAGCTCCGTGAACGCGGCAACTCAATATTCTAGTGTGTATAAGACAATTGCAAGGATGCTAGTGTGCGTGAAAAATTGTATATGTCAGCAGCTTAACTATTACCCGATTAACGGGAAAAATTATTTTATGCTATGGCTTAGTAGTTAAGTTCATAGTTATGAATATAGACCAGAAATACTTAAAAATGAATTATTTATTAATAGCGAATGTATCAATATATTTATGTATATTATGTATAGGTTTTTCTTCTGAATAAATGGCCCATTAATGATAAGGCTTCATTTTTATCAGTTTAATTTTTATATTTAAATGTCTGAGCAATATTCACAAATTATTTAAAATAATAGTTATATATTATATGGTGTAACCAAAATTTTATTTTTATTATATGTTGTTATAGCAATAATAGCCAATACACATTCTGTGAAAATTTCAAGTCTCTCTCACCGTCTACATTTCATTCATAAGTTCCAAAGAACTATGTATTTCACGGTGACAATGCTTTGCCAATGAGGGCATCCACGACTTTCTGTCAAAGGACGGTGCTACTTAAAAGTGAGGTTAATGGTTCTTTCTGTAATATTAGTTGTAGTTTATATTAATTATATTAAAAATAAATAAACCGAACAACAGATATTCACAGAAGTAGAAAAACTTAAAAACAAGTAAAACATGTGTAAAAAGTTAAAGAGAAAACCACTGAGACATTGTTTTGTGTATTAATATAATAATCTAGAAACTGATAAACTTTTATTAAAAACGAACTTCTAAATTAAATGACATTTGTGTAACAAAACACTTTATTTCAGTGTCAACTAGCGACATCTGGTGAACAGAAAATTATTAGCCCCCATTGCCACAGAATAAATAATTACCTATTGCTATGCCCACGCCGTTATTGCCTCAACTATGAAAATATGAATGGGTGGGAGTATAACTACTACCAATGTGAGTACTACGCTAAATCTACGTATTATATGCGTTGTCTGCTGCTGCTGTAATTGTTTATTTTTCACAACGATTTGTTTTTATTTTTATTGTTTATATTTTAATATTTTAAAGAGAGCTGTGTTAACTCAGAGGTGGATTTCACAGCACCTCGGGTACGATCCCCACTGGCACCATAGAATTGAGAGTTTAAGTGCTGATATACTCCGTCATCGGTGGTGAAGGTAAACAACGGAAATAAAAAAAAAACCTGAAATAATATATTTTGAAGATTTGTGAAGTTTGCCAATATATACGTCACGCCTGTAATACCCGAGGGGGTAGACACAGTCTAAAGAGCAGTAAGCAACTCGGACCCCATTTAGCCAAAAATAGCGCGGGCTTATTACTTCATTAACCTCTCAGAAATTAAAGCTGCGCCCTGCAGTGTAAAATATAATACCTCTATTTACTAGTAACTATGTTATTATTTGAGTTGAAATGAAATTGGATTGTAATTTATTTTTATCAACGGATATAGTAAAAGAGAATTTAAGTAATTATCAATGGCACATAAAACTAAAAATATTATATACATATTACGTTGTTGTTTGTTTGTTCAAATATCGCTTTTTTATCTTTTCCCCGTTATTCGCTGCCATCAGTTGCTCCTCACCCTATAAATAGTGGCTAAGTCCGAACGCATCCTGAACGGAAGCGAAATTGGAACGGCAGGTGAGACTGGCCGTCGGCCAAGTCACCGGGACGGCGACAACGACGGCATAATTTTTTTGGGTGCTGATGAGCGGTTTATGGTGCGTGAGCTTTTTTTTGACTGAGATAATTACATAATTAGCAATTAAAGTAGTTTAAAATTTGAATACGAATAAAAATTTACTAAAGGCGAGAGAGTGGTGTCTGGATCGTGCCAAATGGAAGTGGTATCTGCCTACCCCTCTGAGTGACAGGCGTGAGTGTATTTATGTAAAAATTTACTGTTTATTTTTCATAATTATTGCAGTCAGTCACAAGTCGACTGTTGAATATAGGCTTCCCCCAAGGAATGCCACAAAGTAGGGTCCATCTAGTTTCTGTGATGTTAATGTTGTTAGCATTTTGGCTCTTATAGTCCCATCGGACTTAGGGCTCAGGCAGCTATAATGTGGGTGGCGATTAT